ATGCGGGGTTCACTTTGTCAAAGGCTTTTGAAAAATCTTTATAGATGACGTCAACTTGTAAGCCTTGATCAACTTTTTCTTTTATATCAGAAGTGAATAGAAGTGAAAAGAAAAGGTTAGTGTTGGTTGACCTTCTTGACATAAAACTATGCTGATTTTCGATAATGTATTTTTGAGTATGCCGATAAATTGCAGAGTGAACTAATGACTCAAATACTTTCGATACTGCTGACAAGATTGATATTGGACGGTAGTTAACTACTAAGTCTTTTGCTCCATTCTTAAATATAGGTACTACTCTAGCTAGTTTCCATTCATCGGGGAATATACCCATTTTGAGAGATCGATTTTATAGAAAAATTAGTACAAAAGTCAACGCGTCTGCACAGTTTATTAAAAGTAGTGGATGTATATTATCAGGGCCTGCCCCCTTTGTGATATCCAGCTTTTTCAGTTTATTTTTAACATCCTCTGATCTAAATTGAATTTCCCCGATAACATCAAAGGAATTAGCAATGAATCCTGTGCAAATATTAATTGAATTGTTGTCGTTAAGATCTCTTTCATATATTGAAGAAGAAGAAATATATATATATATATATATATATATATATATATATATATATTTCATAAGTTTATCGGATGATTTTTTATATCGAGGAAATATAGGTTATAAGGTATAAACTAACTAGAAACCAATAGCATAGATATTTTTCAATTTTATATTTTTAAAGTAATATTTTTAATTTTTGATAAAAAAAAACCGATTTAAAATGATGAATTTCTAATCATGGGCATCAAAGTAGGGTACTTTGCTTGTGATGATTATCAATGAATTTGTAAAGTTCGCTCTACACTCCGCGAAGCGCACGTGTTGTCTTGGTGAGAAAACCAATGAAATATAATAAGTTGCCGCAACACAAACCAATTGAACATGATGAGTTACGGATCAAAGTGTACCGTAAAATGTTATTAAAGGACTATATTTTGTAAAAAAAAATATTTTTAAGAGTCCTCACATATGAAAGAAACTGTTTGTGAATTTAATGATTGTTCAAAATTAGCAAGGTTTGTAAATAACGAAAGTGGTGAATTATAAGAATCTATTGTAGTAGCAAACCCGCTTGCCAAGTGTGGCAACTATGGCAAATACCCCCCATGATGGGAGGAACAAAGAGACGGCCTCCAGTCCCCGGCGGCCCCGCTCTTCCTGGCTACGGTGGCGATGGTAACGGCGGGGCAGGGGGTGCTAAGAATCTCCGGTGGAAGTTCGGTTGCCACCTTAAACGACGCGACCTGGCAATATACAACGCACGCACCCTGAGGACTGACTAGAATATCGTGGAGCTGGAAGAAGAGGTGGACAAGTTACGCTGGCATATTATAGGACTATCCGAGGTCCGAAGAGAGGGGGAGGACACGGTAATCCTCGATTCCGGCAACTTGCTCTATCACCGGGAGAGCGACCATCTGTCCCTAGGAGGTGTCGGATTTATCGTCCACAAGTCTCTCGTTAACAGCATTGTAAAGATTGAGAGTGAGTCGACGAGGGTTGCGTACCTTATACTCAGAATCACCAAACGGTATTCGCTGAAGGTCATACAGGTTTACGCACCAACCTCGGCACACCCCGATGAGGAGGTGGAGGAAATGTATGAGGATATCTCTAGAGCCATGCATTCCTCCAAAACCCACTATACGGTGTTAATGGGAGACTTCAATGCTAAACTAGGCACAAGAGAGAACGGTGAGCTGAAAGTAGGGAAATTCTGAATAGGGCAACGGAACCCAAGGGGCAAGCAGCTGGCCGACTTCATGGAGAAAGAGGGACTCTTTATGATGAACTCTTTCTTCCAGAAGCGGCCCCACAGGAAGTGGACCTGGTCGAGCCCCGACGGTTCAACAAAAAATGAGATTGACTTCATTATGACGACCAGACGACAACAGTTCAGTGATGTCTCCGTGATCGCGAGGGTGAAAACTGTTAGCGATCACAGAATAGTTAGAGGCACACTGAACCTAAACGTTAAGTTGGAGAGGTCTCGTCTAATGAGGTCAACGCTCCGTCCCCCTTGTGCTCTGTTCCAAAGTCCCGAAACCTTTCAGCTCGAGTTATAAAACCGTTTCTAGTGCCTAAAGGATTGCAACGAAGTGAACGATATGAATGACAAGCTCGTGGAAACTGTCCATGCGGTCGGAGCTAAGTTCTGCAAGACCCGCCGCAGAACGCGGGACTTACGCTACTTCAATACAGCTTGTATTGAAGAAGCAATCAAGCGGAACCAAGGCTCCAAAGTCTTTGCCAGAGATCTGTCTGCCAGAAAGAGCCAACTGTCAAAGCTGAAGACCGAGTGTGGCAGCATTGTTTCCGGGACACCTGAGATTTTGAGTAATATTGAGAGGTTCTATGGGCAGCTGTACACGTCATCGTTGGAGCCACACGCAAGTGTGAGTAACGATCCAAGAGCGAATCTTATCCGACACTGTTCCGAAGATATACCTGACGTCAGTCTGAGCGAGATTAGAATGGCTCTCCAGTAACTTAAAAACGGCAGGGCCCCAGGTGAGGATGGAATTACAGCGGAGCTTTTGAAATCGGGTGGAAAACCAGTATTTGAAGTCCTTCAGAAGCTCTTTAATTCCGTCCTCTATGGTGGCACTACTCCGGAGGCATAGAGCAGAAGTGCGACGGCGGTCTTCAAGAAAGGCATCAACGCTCTCTTGACGAACTATAGACCGATTTTTCTTCTGAGCCGCGTCTACGTGCTGTTTTCGAGAGTCATTACAAATCGTCTCGCATGCAGATTTGACGACTTCCAGCCTCCCGAACAAGGCTTTATTACCATAGACCAACTAAACACCCTTCGGCAAATTGTACAGAAGACAGAAGAGTATAATCTGCCACTTTGCCTTGCGTATGTGGACTATGAGAAAGCCTTTGATTCCGTTGAAATTTGGGCGGTGCTGCAGTCCCTTCAGCGGTGCCAAGTAAACTGTCGGTATATCGAGGTGCTGAAGTGTTTGTACAATAGGGCTACGATGGCTATCCGAGTACAGAATCAGAGTACGAAACCTTTCCAACTGCAGAGAGGTGTAAGACAGGGTTACGTTATATCCCCGAAACTCTTCGCCATTGCATTGGAAAACGTTTTCAAGCTACTGGACTGGAAATGATGCGGTATTAACATCAATGGCGAGTACATCACTCACCTTCGATTTGCCGACGATATAGTCAATTAAAATACAATTTTTTAAATTTTTGTCTGTCTGTCTGTCTGTCCGTCTGTCTGTCTGTCTGTTTGTTCCAGCTAATCTCCGAAACGGCTGGACCGATTTTGACGGGACTTTCACTGACAGATAGCCAATGTCATAAGGAGTAGACTTAGGCTACTTTTGTTTTAGAAAAAAAATTAGGGCTCCGCGCAAAAAATAAAAACCCTAACACGCGAGCGAAGTCGCGGGGAACAGCTAGTTTTATATAAATAAAGAAAAGCACAGTATGCATGCATCATTATTTATTTTAACAATGCCTATTACGGTATCCAGTGAGTTTTTCCAAATTATTATTTTTGAAAAGTATAAAACCGGTTTAACAGACAGACAGACAGACAGACAGACGAACAGACAGACAGACAGATTTTTTTAATTTTTTTGTTGTTGTTAGTACCGTATATATAGTGTTGCCCAAATGCAAGAACAAGACGAGACTTAGCAAGTCTTGGTCTTGGTCTTGCGCCAATACACCTGGTCTTGGTTTTGGTCTTGGTATTGCGCTCCCAGTCTTGGTCTTGGTCTTGGTCTTGCAGCAAGAGTCTCGTAAGTCTCGCAATGACCTATTAGCCTATTACTATTTATTAAACGTTACTTTAGATTACTGTTGCCCAAAATCGGTCTTGGTCTTGCAGTCTTGGTCTTGTTCTTGCATTTTTGCAAGACCAAGACCAAGAACAAGACCGCCTCTTTTTAGCAAGACCAAGACCAAGACTGACCGTGCAAGATTTGCGCAAGAACAAGACTAAGCTTGCGAGACTCTTGCGTCTTGCAGTTAGGACTAAGTGTCGTTTCATGGAGTATAGGAGTTCGGGTATACGCTTAGGGACTCTATGAGACGCAAAAAAATATAATTAAAAAAAAATTGGAAAATTGGACTTATGCGCATTACGAACGATACCATAAATATACTTTATTATTAAAAGAAAAAAGAGTGCATACCTAGTTTTGACCATCGGCACTTTGATAGTGCGCTGCGGCTTGTTGTCGGCGTCATCAAAGGTCGGATACTGACCTGTCAAAGAAATTGTGCAGCTATTTGAAAGTATAAGGTCAAGATACACGTGCCGGCGGCTACTATTGATATCGCATACAATCGTCGCCGCAGCGCCACACGCACTACATTTAACACTGTTTGATTGCCGCCACAGAGTACATGTTTCAAAGAATAAAATAAGTTTCCGGGTGCTCAGAATGGACACAAATACACAATCCTGATCTCGCAAGAAATATTGTAATTAGATAATAGGTAGGTATCATAATAATTTATTCTAGTAACTAATTATTATAAAATTAACTATATGGATTTATAACTACTTACTATTATTGTTAGCTCCATAGCGAGCTATGGAGAGGGCTATGCTCGGAGTTTCTCTGCGTGATAAACTTAGGAATGAGGATATCCGCAGTAGAACCAGAGTAACCGACATAGCCCAACGGATTAGTAAGCTGAAGTGGCAGTGGGCCGGCCATATAGCTCGAAGAACCGACAACCGATGGGGAAGAAAGGTTCTCGAGTGGCAGCCTCGTACCGGTAGGCGAAGTGTAGGGCGTCCCCCCACGAGATGGAGTGACGACCTGGTAAGACATGCAGGAAGTCGATGGATGCAGGTGGCTCAGGACCGTACTTTGTGGCATTCTTTGGGGGAGGCCTATGTTCAGCAGTGGACTTGTGAAGGGCTGTAATGAATGAATGAATTATTGTTATTATTATTACCTAAAAGATAAACATGTTCAGTAAGTTCACTGCAAATCTCGACTTTTGCAAGTGTGTGTTTTTAAAACACAAAGTGCTCGAATATGTCGTCACACATTTGATAAATATGGACACCATAGCACTTTTAAAACACTTGAAATGTGTAAAAATGGATCTGGATCTTGTCTTCAAGGCTTTAGTTATTAAGGAGTTGAAGGGGTACCTAGGTAAACCCAGAGCCGTCATCTCGGAAGACATTTTAGACTGTCGGAGGACGCATGAGACAAAATATCCGATTTTATCGAAGATGGCCCGTGATTTTCTTTTAATACCTGCAACTTCAGTACGTGCTGAGAGATTATTTTCTAAAGCATCATTAGTAATTAGAAACATAGAAATAGGTTAAGTGATGAGTCAGCCAGATGGTTACTTTGTATTAATGCTTTATCAAAAGAATTAATATAAAGTAAGAGTAATATCAAAGCTGTTGTGTACTGTGAAGTAATTTAATTTGCATCGTATTTTATTTTTTATTTAAATAATGGTATATTGTATAACTCCACTTCATATATGGTGAGGGTCCATCCATCTCTTTCTAGAGAGATAATGTTATTTAAAATACAGTGTAGTTATTGCCATTAATTTGTTTTTATATGTATGTTTAACCATGTTTTAGTACATGTAAGCTTATTAAATGTAAACGTTTATTAAGAAACTGACCGTCGTGGCCGTGGGACACTCAGTTGGTCGGAGCATCGGCACGGATCGCTTAGGTCGTGGGTTCAAACCCCACCCGGTGTCAGTTGATTTTTCGAATTTGTCATTGAATGTTTAGACATTTATTAATATGGTTGGTCTTTACTATGGCTATGTTAATTCAAGCTCAATATGTACCTACTCTGTTAAGTTGTTCTAAGATCTAAAGTAACGTTTAATAAATAGTAATAGGCTAATAGGTCATTGCGAGACTTACGAGACTCTTGCTGCAAGACCAAGACCAAGACCAAGACTCGGAGCGCAATACCAAGACCAAGACCAAGACCAGGTGTATTGGCGCAAGACCAAGACCAAGACTTGCTAAGTCTCGTCTTGTTCTTGCATTTGGGCAACACTACTTTAGATCTTAGAACAACTTAACAGATTAGGTACATATTGAGCTTGAATTAACATAGCCATAGTAAAGACCAACCATTTTAATAAATGTCTAAACATTTAATGAGAAATTCGAAAAATCAACTGATACCGGGTGGGGTTTGAACTCACGACCTAAGCGATCCGTGCCGATGCTCTAACCAACTGAACTATCAACCATGTCCCACGGCCACGGGCGTCAGTTTCTTAATAAACGTTTACATTTAATAAGCTTACATGTGCTAAAACATGGTTAAACATACATATAAAAACAAATTAATGGCAATAACTACACTGTATTTTAAATAACATTATCTCTCTAGAAAGAGATTGATGGACCCTCACTATATATGAAATGGAATAAAAGATTTATACAATATACAATTTATTTAAATAAAAAATAAAATACGATGCAAATTAAATTACTTCACAGTATGTACACAACAGCTTTGACATTACTGTTACTTTATATTTATTCTTTTGGCAAAGCATTAATACAAAGTAACCATCTGGCTGGCTCATCACTTAACCTCTTTCTATGTTTTCTAATTACTAATGATGCTTTAGAAAATAATCTCTCAGCAGGTACTGAGGTTGCAGGTATTAAAAGAAAATCACGGGCCATCTTCGATAAAATCAGATATTTTGTCGCATGCGTCCTCCAACAGTCTAAAATGTCTTCCGAGAGGCGGCTCTGCGTTTACCTAGGTACCCCTCCAACTCCTTAATAACTAAGCGTTGAAGACAAGATCCAGATCCATTTTTACACATTTCAAGTGTTTTAAAAGTGCTATGGTGTCAACCATATTTATCAAATGTGTGACGACATATTCGAGCACTTTGTGTTTTAAAAACACACACTTGCAAAAGTCAAGATTTGCAGTGAACTTACTGAACATGTTTATCTTTTAGGTAATAATAATAACAATAATAGTAAGTAATTATTATAAATCCATATAGTTAATTTTATAATAATTACTTACTAGAATAAATTATTATGATACCTACCTATTATCTAATTACAAGATTTCTTGCGAGATCAGGATAATGTATTCGTGTCCATTCTGAGCATCCGGAAACTTATTTTATTCTTTGAAACATGTACTCTGTGGCGGCAATCAAACAGTGTCAAATGTAGTGCGTGCGGCGCGGCGGCGACGATTGTATGCGATATCAATAGTAGCCGCCGACACGTGTATCTTGACCTTGTACTTTCGAATAGCTAGCTGCACAATTTCTTTGACAGGTCAGTATCCGACCTTTGATGACGCCGACAACAAGACGCCGCGCACCATGAAAGTGCCGATGGTCAAAAATAGGGATGCACTCTTTTTTCTTTTAATGGATATTTTCATTCGCTATGTATATTTATGGTATTGTTCGTAATGCGCATAAGTCCAATTTTCCAATTTTTTTTTTCATTATATTTTTTGCGTCTCATAGAATCCCTAAGCGTATACCCGAACTCCTATACTCCCTGAAACGACACTTAGTCCTAACTGCAAGACGCAAGAGTCTCGCAAGCTAAGTCTTGTTCTTGCGCAGATCTTGCACGGTCAGTCTTGGTTTTGGTCTTGCTAAAAAGAGGCGGTCTTGTTCCTGGTCTTGGTCTTGCAAAAATGCAAGAACAAGACCAAGACTGCAAGACCAAGACCGATTTTGGGCAACACTACGTATATACTATGATATCTATTCAGTAAAAAGCTGTTATTTTGACATTACAAACAGACACTTCCATTTTGTTTATTTGTATAGAAGACATATACTTACGATTTCGGCAATTGCTGTAATAGAACTTTCTTCACTTTTGCTTAGCTCAGAATAAGTGCCTATGTGATGAATCTTGAGATGATTTTTTTAAATTGATAGTTTTAACCATCTGTTTAGACGTTTTACATTGTCCACCCATATCACATTTAATTAAAAAAAACCCAAGCGTTTGATTTGGTTGGCGGGTCCATATTAAAAAGTATTTTAAAGTAATAGTTTACGCTCACAGAACAGTTCAACTTTTCATATCGCAATAATACAAAGAATGAAAGATCATATAACACTAATATAGGTACCCGATAATAAAATAAACAAAATATTATCATACCTACCTTCATATTTCATACACTACCGTTTTAGATGTATCTAGTCAAGTTATGCAGGGGCAGGTGTTTTAAAATTACTAATTTTATTAATTAAAAGATGTTTAATCGCTACAAGAACTCCCTTAAGACTAACTTAATATTCTATGCTTAAAAACTACTGCATGAGAGCCCACACAGGAGATCGGCAGTTTCCGTTTGTCCACTCAGCACATGCCTGTGGTCTACAATCAGAATATTGTGCTGATGCGGACATCTTGGTGTGTCTCGCCACCCGTAACACCTTCCTCCTCAAGTTCGAAGTTCTCGTTTACAGGAGAACTTCGGATACAAAAATGAAACAAGTTTAAATGATACTTATGAACTAAGACACAGGTTACAATAATGAATAACAGTCCTTACAATAAAATGGTCCATAGGGTAACACTTTTAATCACCACAATTGCCTTTTCACTTTCACTGTTTTTAATTTCACTTTTTCTTAATGCAACTGACAGAAGTTTGAGGTCCGTAAGATCTATACCTTCTAGGTTCAGCTGCACCGGGAATGACATCTCGAGGGATGAGTTTATTGCATGTAGGTTAATCATAGGTAATATAGGGGGTGAGATACTTTCAATTTCCACAGGGTTACTTGTTAGGTTACTATCATGGATTTTGGCTGCACAATTATTGTCCAACGTTAAGATTAATGTGCCGTTAATTTTCCGCCTTGTTATTTCATTATTACAAATCTCGGAGAGTAAAGTAGACTCCTTGGTGTAGATAATCCATCTGTTAGGTTGTATAAGCTGCACCCTTACAGCTTCCAAAACGATTGGAACTTGGATGCACGAGGATATATTTTCAGCATAAGTCATCAGTTCTGTGATGCAATCGTCCTTAATTAGTTGGGATGTGTCATCCTCAGGACAGAGGTAACTGTATTCATCAGCTTCCTGACAGGGATGAGTAAGTAGTCTAATCTTCGACGCTTTCACTAAAAGATACGGGAATTTAGGAAAAATGACAGTGGTAAGGTTATGGGATAACTAGTACGGGTAAGGGATAGAGCTTATAATAAATATAAGTGTCCTTAGTGACGAGAGGTATTTCCAAAAGATAAGTTATGCTATTTCCTTTTAAATAAGCCTTTACCATTATTGTTCTTTCTATTTTAACTAAATTTTCTAATGTAGGAGTGTATAATAGATTTGCCAATCTACCAATTTTTTCAAGAAAAATAACAATATTTTAGACTCTATTACAGACTGATGTAAGATTCCTAATTTACTCAAAGCTAAAGCGTTTTCTATCTCATTCAGTTTTATAAGGATAGCCTGAAAGTTATGAATCAATAGGTTGTATGTACTTATAATCCGTGTCTCAATATGATTAGAGTGTTGTCTTTCAACTATACTACTTAAGTTATGTGATAATGTTATAATATCTTTATTAATTTTTATTAGATTTTCATTTAACTTTAATGTAGAATTTGTCAGAGATTGTATTATTTCTGTGATCAACGTCATTCTGCTGTCATTACTATTTTGTTTGACTTTTACTTCTGTAATTAATTTATCGTATCTAACGGCATCATTATTATCGAGATTTCCAGTGACTATCTTAATTAATGAACCTAGTGGGTTAAGTATACCGCGTCTTGATCTAAAAGAAGGGGTTATTTGTTCAAGCTTATTAATAGTTAAATTCTTAATATATTTTACTTGTGTATTAACATCTACAAAGTTATATGAAAAATTCTTATTTAAATTATTAACTATCTTATTTAATTCGGAAAACCTTAGTACATTGACTTTTACATCCTCTATGTATGGTTTGAGGTCTATTATTTTGGCAATGATCCATTTATCGTTACTGATGACGGCGGTTCCTTCCTTCACGGGCAGTATTCCAAGATTGCTATTTAGTTCCTGAAGTTGAAGGGCCAGGACGAGCAGGACGTGCCTGTGAAGGGCGTTTTACATTCTTTAGAGGAACTTTACTATCACGTCCTTTAATGTTTACGGGAATAATATTTCTACTAATAGTGTCGGTTACTAGGGCCTTTTGAAAACGTGGTTTATCTTTACTACACCTTTTATTAGTACCTTTTGCATAAATAGTGTCTCCGGGTTCTATCTCTCTTTTCAATAATCTTTTCTTTCTTTTGTATGGCTTGTTCTGTTAGATGTTTATAGAG